AGACAGACAAGGTTTTTCTCTTGGCTATTTTGAGTATCTTTGTTGTGGCCTTTGAGGTTCCTGCAAACAATTATCTGTGAAGTCTGTGAAGAAAGTACATTTTTAGCAGTACAGATGTACTCAGTTGAAAATAATTTAATATATAATCATGAATTCCATTTCTCATAATAGACAGCCAGTGGTAATCACTTCAACTTTGAGAGAGTAAGACCCAGTAAGGGAAGCTGTAACTCAAGAAATCCCAGGAGTGCTTTTTATGGTTAGATACTACCTAAAGAAAATCAATATTACATTAAGTGGTGTTAAATCTTTTATGCTCCAGGAAAGCACTTTAGTTGTCTAATTAATAGCAAACTCGACAAAACCGTCAATCCCTGGAGAGTTGGTAACCACAGAGACTTATTAAAAGATTGACATGACCTCATGTGTCTTGATTTCCCACTTGCTTTGAATTGATAAATTTAAGCAACATTTTATTATTAATACTTTAGTATTAACAATACCTTTAAGGCAAATATTAAATTAAAATGGCGTTATTTAATTGAATTATTTAAATTAAAATGTCCCCACATTTAGGGAGCAGTGCATGTCCCTGTGTGACTCCTGGCCCATCTCTCGCTTTCTTTAGCATCAGTGATGCAGAGAAGGTGAACGGTACCATCGGGTACCGCCTCCTGCCATCTGCTTATCTGCGTATAGAAATGTGCTCATATAATATGACACAAGATGAAAACAGATGAGTGTGAAAGTAGTCTAGGCATATTGACTTAAGATGTACTGTATGTGAACATTTTATAGAAAAGAAATTGAAAAAAAAACCCTACATATTTCAAGTTACTGTTTGACTCATTTTTAAATTTTTTCATGAAAATGAGCCGCAACACAGTACCCGGGCCTGACTACATTAGGAAATTATTTTAGGAACAAGGACAGAAATTTAATTTAGCAGCAACAGGCTGAATTTTGACTTTGCGGGAAACACATACAGAACTCTCTTGATGATCTTTTTTCTCACCAGCTTTTCTGTGACAGCGTTTTTGCAGCATCAGCAGACGTGTAAGGGGTCTGGCAGGGTTATGAGGGGCAGTCTTCATGTCTCCCTTCCCAGGAAAGGGTTCCCGTGGGAAGACCTCGTCATAGGAAAACCCTCCGTGTTACTTAGCAAGTGAAGTCGTCTCAGGCCTTCAGCTGCTCGAGGTTTCTGTAAACTGTCCGCCCTTAGCATCTGCCGTGTTGGGTTCCTCTTACCTGGCAACGGCAGCCTGTGGAGCAATCAGGACCACTTGGTATTTGAGTTAAGAACTGGCCTGACTTGATTATAACAGGTGGAACTGGGGGGCAGAAAACCAAATTTTAGCCCTAGGCCTGAAGGCATTTCAAAAAGAAGCCGCTTCACCAGTTGAGGGGACTTGAGCCATGTATCCCAATCAGAACGTCAGCCTTTGTGACCTCAGCTCTTACTGCACTCTGCGTCTTTGGACCCCGTCCTTTAGTCTAACCCTAACCCTTGTAGGCACCCAAAGCCACTCTGCACATCGGTTTGTGAGCTAAACCATGAACCGCTTACAGTCCGGGTTCGTGTGGTGCAGATCTGGGCCGGCCCTGCCCCCTGCCCCTGGCAGCAGCGCACAACCTGCGTGACGCATGCGCAGTGCACATGCTTTTATACGCTGCACAGACAGCGCACGGATGAGTGTTTGGCGACGCAGGGCCGCACGTGCCCTCAGGGCGCCACCTCCTGCCATACTCGCGCCGCGTCCTAACTGACGTCTTACTGGATCCTTGTTTCCCTAAACTGGCCTCTCTGAGACATCTGGAACGAGAACCGTCCTTCCGTTTTGGCCCCTTTCCACACCTCCTTTTCAGATGTGCTCCTCGAGGTTCAGGGCATCCTGAGATCGTTTTGCTTTTCCCATTCTCTTTAGTAATAATCACCAGTTATTGACAGGTTCCTATTTGGTGAATTAGCTGTTTTACTGCTACCATGACAAATGCCCACAACCATAAGTGCTTAAAACAACACCCATTATTATCCTGCATTTGCGTAGGTTGGGAGGCCATAGGGGTCTCCCTGGACCATGGTCAGGGGGCCAGCAGGGCTGCGGACGGGGATGGGGGATGGGGAAGATTTCCTCGCTCGTTCGGGTGTAGGCAGAATTCAGCCCCCGGGGCCAGACGTAGGGCTGTGGACCAGTTTACTTACCGGCCATAGCGGGGCGGTGGTGGTGGGGCTTGTAAGGCCCCAGGCTCTCCCCAGGCCCTGCGTGCGGTGTCCTGTTCCTCAGACCCTGTTTCCTCCTCAGTTCCCACATCCCTCCCTGCAACCAGGAAGGGGTCTTGGCACCTAAGGACTCGGTCGCTCCTGGGATTAGGCTGGGGCCCAGCCATAATCTTCCCAAGCAAGGTCCATAAGCTTAGCGCCATTTGCAAAATCCCTCTTGCCGCGTGAGGTAGCATGTTCACAGGGCCGAGGTCTGGAATCTCGGGGACACCGTTATTTTGCCTGCTACGTCTGGGGTGGGCTCATGCCTTGTATACATCACTTTAGTTATTTCCATTTTATCAGAAGAAATCAAGCCTTAGAAAGGTTGGGTAGGTTGGCTACATTATCATGAAATGACAGTGTCATGATTTAAATCCAAGTTTGCTTGATTATTTTTATTATTTAGTTATTTTTTAAATAGTTGAATTTTTTTTCATTTTTCTTTTTTTTGGCCACACCACTGAGCTTGCGGGATCTTAGTTCCCCAACCAGGGACCTAACCTGGGCCCTCAGCAGTGAAAGCACAGAGTCCTAACCACTGGACCACCAGCAAATTCCCAAAGTCAGCTTGATTTTTTTTTATAATAAGTGATTAATTTTATATTTGGGTTTTTTTAAAACATCTTTATTGGAGTATAACTGCTTTACAATGGTGTGTTAGTTTCTGCTGTATAACAAAGTGAATCAGCTATACGTATACATATATCCCCATATCTCCTCCCTCTTGCGTCTCCCTCCCTCCCACCCTCCCTATCCCACCCCTCTAGGTGGTCACAAAGCACCGAGCTGATCTCCCTGTGCTGTAAGGCTGCTTCCCACTAGCTATCTGGTTTACATTTGGTAGTGTATATATGTCCATGCCCCTCTCTCACTTGGTCCAAGCTTCCCCATACCCGCCGTGTCTTCCAGTCCATTCTCTGCGTCTCCGTCTTTATTCCTTCTAGCCACCTTGCTCTTAACTCCTGTACCATGCTATGCTACGTGTGTGCGCTACCATATTTGTGCAGCACACACACACACAACACGCATTATGAATTAAGTGTTGGAAAGCCACGTTGCACCCAGTCAGTAGTATAGTTTGTACCATTTCTTCTGGTGATCTTTAAACAAAAATTTTTTTTTAATATTAGAGAGTAATACAAGAAAGTGGGGAATTTGGTACATTCTAAATTAATCAAAAAGAAATTAATCACAAGGCTATCAGAACAGAAAATATTTATTTGCAAATTTATTAGTTTTCCAAGACTTCAGTTCCAAAAGGTTCAGTTTCACAGGTTAGCTATGAGGCTGTACCTTGCTTGGAGACTATAAATGAACATGGAGAAATTATACTGATATAATTTCCAAAGTAATTTTAATTACTAAAATATTATTTTACAAAGAGTATGCTTATATTTTCATATGCTTATAACTCTGATGTAGTTTTTGAATTAATAGTCAAGTTTTAGGATTGTAGTGGAAACAAAGTGTAATATGTGATCACTTTGGGCATTCCATGCTGGTTATCATAACATAAATATACAACTGCCCCAAACTCTTGTAAATATGCATACCTTTGTCTTAGAAACTGTTTTTCTTTTTTCTGCTTCAGGTATCCGTTTTACACCCCCTTGTTTGTTTACCTTCTTTAAAATATTTCCACTGTTAGCAGTCACAGATGTTTTTCTTTTTTTTTAATTTATGGAAATATAGTTGATTTACAGTGCCGTCTTAATTTCTGCTGTACAGCAAAGTGATTCAGTTATATATATACACATTCTTTTTCATAATCTTTTTTTAATGCAAAGGTTTATTTATTTATTTATTTAAATTTTATTTATTTTTGGCTGCGTTGGGTCTTCGTTGCTGCATGCGGGCTTTCTCTAGTTGCGGCGAGCGGGGCTGCTCTTCGTTGCGGTGCACGGGCTTCTCATTGCGGTGGCTTCTCTTGTTGCAGAGCACGGGCTCTAGGCACGCAGACTTCAGTAGTTGTGGCACACGGGCCTAGTTGCTCTGTGGCATGTGGGATCTTCCTGGACCAGGGCTCCAACCCGTGTCCCCTGCAGTGGCAGGCGGATTCTTAACCACTGCGCCACCAGGGAAGTCCTCATATTCTTTTCCACTATGGTTTATCACAGGATATTGAATACAGTTCCCTGTGCTCTACAGTAGGACCTTGTTGTTTATCTGTCCTATACACAGTAGTTTCCATCTGCTGACCCCGAACTCCCAGTGCATTCCCCCCCGCCCCGCCTTGGCAACCACAAGTCTGTTCTTTATGTCTGTAAGCCTGTTTCTCTTTCGTAGATATGTTCTTTTGTGTCATATTTTAAATTCCACATATAAGTGATGTCATATGGTATTTGTCTTTGATGTACTTCATTTTGTATGATCATCTCTAGGTCCATCCATGTTGCTGCAAATGGCATTATTTCATGCTTTTTTATGTCTGAGTAGTATTCCATTATGTGTGTGTGTGTGTGTGTGTGTGTGTGTGTGTGTGTGTGTGTGTGTACCACATCTTCTTTATCCATTCACACAGATGTTCTTCTTAATTTCATCACCTTAGTTTCAAGTTCTCTGTGGTTCCTGCCTTACCGACGTCTGGATGCAGCAGGGAAGGCTGTGCCCTGTGCATGTTCGCATGGCCCGTGGGCGCCTGAGCTCAGACCTGAGTCTGCTTCCTCAGCCTTCTCTCCCGAGGGCAGCTGCCACATGGGAGCAGGACTTACTCATCACTCTGTCCCCTTCCTTGCAGAACCTCGATGCCCTGCACGACCACCTTGCTACCATCTACCCGGGCATGCGAGCACCTTCCTTTAGGTGCACCGATGCAGAGAAGGGCAAAGGGCTCATCCTGCACTACTACTCAGAGAGAGAAGGCCTGCAGGACATTGTCATCGGGATCATTAAGACGGTAGCTCAGCAGATCCACGACACTGAAATAGACATGAAGGTAATGGTCAGTACCTGGGGCTCTTCTGGGCACAGGTGACATGCGGGGTGTTAGAAAGGTGCTCTGAACGTGCCCCTGGTCAGCGCTGCTACTGGCGCTCAGCAGAGGTAGTACCAGCCGTAACACTGGCAGTCTTCTATATTTGGCTTGGAATGCACACACAGGGTAGTTTTTCCTTGTGGGAACAGATTTTTCTTTCTAATTATATATATTGCTCAAGGCAACGGGAAATTTAATTTGCAGTTCCTGTGAGCTCACACTAGCTGGGAAGGAGGAGGACCTTTGTCTGGCTGAGCTGTGGCCTTCAGAATACAAAAAAAACCCCTGTAACATGGACACATTCTAAAGTAATATGAGATGAAGTATTATTTTACTGGGTTTTTGTGTGTGTGTGTGGACTTTTTGGTCTGTCCCTGAAATGTGGTTTGAATATTTCATTTTTGTGGGCTAAAACCTTTGCTTTTTTTTTTTTTTTTTTTTTTTTTTTTTAAATTAGATCACTTGGTAAAAGAAGCTGGTCTCAGACTTTAAAAAATGTGTTGCTGCTGATAATTCATCCTGTCAGTTTTGAGTGATAATTTCAAGGTACTGATACAATAGCTGTGCAATGAAGGGAGCTACCATTTTTCCTTATTTCTAATCCAGAGAGTTGCTCCCAGGGAGCTGTGTTTTGTGTGCTCAGCCCCAAGAGACATTTTTCAGTGGCCCTAGGTTTGAGAAAATTGGACCGAGGGTACCCTATTTCGGTTTGCTTTCTTTATGGAAAATCTAATAGGCAGTGCTTTCTTAGATCTATAGTTACATTCTAACATGTGTGGGAAGCCCACACTTTAAGTACAGTATTACACAAATAGAAATTGTAACATTTAAATTGATTAATTTAGAAAAGTATGCCGTATATTTAATCTAGTAATGTCACATGAGATTTCACGGGTGTTTTTACTTCCAAGAGTTGGTGTCGTTTTTTACGTGATCCCCAGGTGCATCCTTAGTTTCTCTACAACTAGAAAGTGGCAGTATGGATAACGTAACATTATCAAATCCAGAGACATTTAAAAACTTGGGTCAAGGATTGAAAGTCACCCGTGATTAGGAATCTCACTGGAATTCAATTAAGATTGTATACGCCTTTCATTTCCAGCTCTGGATCCTGACACCGAACTAACACTTCACTTACAGTACGTGAGCCTGTATCACGGGGGTTGTAAACACTGGGTCTGCTCTCGGTTTGTTCATTACGTACGTAGCCAAGCTGAGCAAGAAGTAAGGGCATAGAAACTTCAGGAAAGCAGCATAAACTGGGCACCCTTGGAAACTGCAGCTGCCACGGTTATTAGAGCCTTTGGTATGGGAGGTTGACAGCAGTAGCGCTCTGTATAATTATGGGGTTCACTTTATACATCCCACTTATACAATGTGGGTTGTCTTGTGACCTTCATTTATTCAAGTATTCCAATATAGATGTCTGAAGTATTTGCATTTGGTAATTATATTTGGTATATTTAATGTTTTTCAAAGGCACTGTTTTAATTTCCTGAGGTATTCTTATGTTGAATCCCTAAGTTTAATAGGTCCAGAGCTCCAGACAATTTAACTACTTCAGGAATATTGGACCATGTCATGAAGGTGATATATGAAGGAGAGGTTAAAAACATGATCAGAAAAGCTGTTCATTTCTCTGATTTAACCAAGGCAAAAGGGTATAATTGAGGAATTCATTAGTAAATTTAGGTTGCATATAATTCAGTTCTTCTAGCTGAAATGGAAACACAGCAGAACAACAAAATTTTAAGATTGTTTTGTTTTCTTTATGAGACTTTAGGGAAATTAATCTTCATGGGGCAGAATTTTCCAATCATAAATAAGAATACTAATCTTTCAGCAGTGTAGTAGATTAGTGTGACAGTTTTAGTAGTAATATCCTGATTTCACCGTGAAACTACATTTGGGAAAACATATACAATAGCGTCCATATTAATTGAGATTTGTTCTTAAGTGTCAGAGTTGGCTGCAGTGAACTAGGGAAAAAAGTGAGAAAAAGCAATGTTTTGCCTTCATTTAGCTGCAGCTGAAGAAATATTCATTCAGCTATTTCCCATTTTGATCTGGCCGCAATTTGAGATATGGTTTTTTCCCTTTATAAGAGGATGTGTTGGTTGAAGTTTCTTAAACTCGAAAGGAAAAATCTTTTTTAAAGCTTAATCATTTATTTGCCTGTGAATAATATTTAGAAATGTAGTTATTCTTTAGAGAGCTTCGCTCATGATCATGATTACTCCCATAGAATAAAGTCCTAGACTTGGAATTAAATCAAAAAAGGTAATTTGGGGAGGGGGGATTTTTATGCATTTTGTCGATCTATTCTTCAGAAAGATTAGTCAAAATACCCCATTAGTGGCATGTGAAATGACTCTTCTTCTGTATCCTACCTCATGTGGTACTGTAATTTTTATATACTTGCCGATTGATGGATAAAAAAATGACATGGCATATTAAATACGTATTTCTGTCATTTCATTTCCCTGTTTGTGCGTGTCATTTTTGACCATATTAAACATACCACTCTGTATGATGTGTAGGGCGTCTACTGTACGTGTGCCTGGCTGAGGGGTGCTGAGCCCACCAGGACAAGGGGGTGCTTTCCCCCAAATTCTACCAAAGAGGCTGCATGGACCACTAGGGGACTCGTACCAGATTTGCTATCTTTCTGTGAATTTACTTAGTCAGTCTTCAGGTTTCATAAATCAATGTCCAGCAATAGTTTTCTATGTTAGGCGTGTATACTGTTTGCATATATTGAATTTTTAAAATTAACCTGCTAAGGGAAGTTCTCATCACCAGTTTCTTAGGTATTTAGGTATTGTAACTAAATGCAGACAATTAACACCATTTCCCCTTTTGGCATCCAGGTTATTCAGCAAAGAAACGAAGAATGTGATCATACTCAATTTTTGATTGAAGAAAAAGAGTCAAAAGAAGAGGATTTTTATGAAGATCTTGACAGATTTGAAGAAAATGGTACCCAGGAATCACGCATCAGCCCATATACCTTCTGCAAAGCTTTTCCCTTTCACATCATATTCAACCGGGATCTCGTGGTCACTCAGTGTGGCAATGCCATCTACAGAGTCCTTCCCCAGGTAAGAGTACATCACATTCCCTTGGGGCCTGAGACAGAAGGCCACAAAGACACTATCGTTACAGGTGACCATTCATACCTTTAACCCTTTGCTTATGTATCAGGTAATGTGGAGCACACGGTACGTCACAGAAGTTCCGTAACTGCACACTAAGTGTGTTTCAGCATACTGCAGCTTTGCCTAGGACAGCTACTTATTTTTTTCTGTTTTAATCACAAGGGCAGTGGGAGAATTCTGTGGGAATAGTGTACTTGTTTTAATGAGGAAGTGAGTAACTTTCCAGTAACAATCAGTTTTCACTTAATTTATTCAACATGGAGCAAATAGTCACTGAATATCTACTGTCTGAAAATAACTTTCAAAATCAACCACTGACATTTGCAGGGAAAAGGAAGGAATTTAAAATACACCAAAGAGGAAAGCGATAGACGTTACCGTGGGGTTTAGTAGAAAAAGCATCAAAGGACAGCAGTTGGGTGATGCCAGGAATGTACGTTTGACTTGTATTATTATTATTGTTAATACATTATCTTCTTATTCAGACCTGTTGTCAAGTCCTCTCTTCCTACTTTTTCTTTTCTCTCCGTTTCTGACTTTTGGAATTGCACATGACACGTGTCTAGAGATACTTTTTGCTTGTAATTAAGGACTCTTAATTCAGGATGAACTCCCATGGGATCTGGCATGAACCCGTAAATCTGGAGGCAGAACCATGTGTGGACTGGGCTGTTATGCTGCCTCTGCCTCTCCTCCATTGATGACCTTGACTGTGTCACGTCCCTCTTGGCCTGCTCTCCCCTTGTTATACTGTGAGGCTAGAGGGTGGATGAACATCACTTAGTGTAAGCAGTCACTCACTTTTCCTTTTATTGGTAATTAGCCATCTCCCGATAAACTATGAGTGTCGTGGGTGGTTTTGCTATTTAAATTTCATTTTAGGCCGTGGACATCTAACACCTCATGCTACAATTTAAAAGCTAAGTTCCATTCTTTTTTCTTCAAAAATTCTTCTCTTGTTTAGATTAGCTTATATTTGAATATTAGTCCCCTGATTCCATATTAGGTTTCATGTTCAGGCAACTACTGGATGTTCATTTAGTCACCAAGCTGCTTAGATGATGATGTGAGTCCACAGTTGAGGTCACTTTCTTACGAAATAATTACGATTTTCTATGTTCGAGTGCTGTTGAGCTGGTCTGATCTAATAACTACTATCAGATCATAAGAATTATTGACTAAGTATCCTTTTGTTTTCATCTGCATTTTAGCTCCAGCCTGGGACCTGCAGCCTCCTGTCTGTCTTCTCCCTGGTCCGTCCTCATATTGACATCAGTTTCCATGGGATCCTCTCACACATCAATACGGTCTTCGTACTGAGAAGCAAGGTAATTGAGATATTATTTCAGTAAGTGTGAGGAAGTAAGGTCTGTTACAGATTAGAAGTGTTCCACAGGGATAATTAGCTGCAAAAACATTCTGTGAGATGCAGAAGGTGTAGAGAGAGAAACGCCAGAGCCCGAAGGGAGTCCTATTTCAAAGGCAACGGTGCTGATTTGGGGTTTGCCTGTAGGGAAGTGGGACCCTCTCCTCTGGTTAGAATAAACGCGTGAGAGTTTGGAGAAGGCCTCGCCCAGGCTGCCCGGGTGCACGCGATGAAACCAACACCTTTTACTCAATATACAGCTACAGACTCCTATTTTAGAAATCTGGGGAACTAATAAAGATTTTTTAAACTTCACCCAAAGCCGCTGGTTTGTTGTTCCCTAAATTGTCTGTTATTCTTCAGGGCATTTTTGTGGGGAAATACAAGTGATAACATTTTCATTCAGTTGATAGTTGGTGGTACCCAGATCTCGTAGTTTCTGTTCTTGGGGCTGATGTAGCCAGTGTTCCAGAGGACGAAGCTCATCCTCCCTTCCGCCTTCCACCTACAAAGGTCTTCCCTGCACCTGCTTCCTGTATTTGGAACCAGCTGCTTCCAGCTGCTCTGTGCATGTAGGGGTGGGCATGGGGACACTGGGTCTGGTCTTTGCTAGAGCCTGGGATTACGTGCTGTGGCCATGGTGGAAAATCAGAAATAAGGCTCACTGCAGCTTTCCATAAAGATGTGAAAGTAGCACAGCTACTGTCTTTCTGGGTTCAAAGGAAGCGGTCAGTTGGCTTTTCTGCAGTGACGTAAGGCTGTCTGCTTGTTACCTGGCGGACTCTGGTGAAACGCCTCTCCTGTTCTACCTGGGCCGATGTTCTCCCTTACGGTTTGGTGGGAATGAGGGTCTCTGTGTCCTTCTCGGCTGAGTCGTTAGGTAGAGACAAAGGCATGAGTGGACGGTTGTGTCTTGCCTTTTCCAGGAAGGGTTGTTGGATGTAGAGAAATCAGAGTGTGAGGATGAACTGACGGGCACTGAGATCAGCTGCTTACGGCTCAAGGGCCAGATGATCTACTTACCTGAAGCAGACAGCATACTTTTCCTGTGCTCACCAAGGTAATCACTTCGAGGTGAATTATAATAGATAGAAGTACCCATCTGGCGCTAATGAAGGAGTCCAATATCTTTTTATTCAATTGTTTCTACAAAGTATGCTTAGACTTCACAACTCTTCTTATACGCCTCTCTATAACAAGGATAACTTCATTGAACATTTGCAATAAACTGGGAAGGAGTCATGTCTTCTGTTTTGTTTGCCGTGTCTTAGTCAATTTGCTAAGTGTTTATGCCATTAGATCAGGGGATACCTAATCTGAAGGTAGCTAACTCTGTAGCTTTGTACCTTCCAAAGACACATCACATGTCCATAAGCAAACCTATAAAGCATGTAATGCGATGGCAGAAATACATGGTTATATTTGGCACCAAGAAGTTACTTTTCTAATGATTTCTGGATGTAAGCTATTTTATATTAAAACTGTTTCACTACTTTAACTGAGATATACTATTCAAAATATAGTTTTAAGTTGACATTTATGTAAATAACGTTTTTTATAATAAACATAGGGACTTCCCAGGTGGCGCAGTGGTTAAGAATCTGCCTGCCAATGCAGGGGACATGGGTTCAAGCCCTGGTCCGGGAAGATCCCACATGCCGCAGAGCAGCTAAGCGCGTGAGCCACTACTGCTGAGCCTGCGCTCTAGAGCCTGCGAGCCACAGCTACTGAGCCCACGTGCCACAACTACTGAAGCCCATGCGCCTAGAGCCCATGCTCCACAACAAGAGAAGCCACCACAATGAGAAGCCCGCACACTGCAACGAAGAGCAGCCCCTGCTTGCCACAACTAGAGAAAGCCGGCGTGCAGCAATGAAGACCCAACGCAGCCAAAAACAAATTAATTAATTAATTAATTTAAAAAAATAGATATAATAAACATTAGAGGGAAGTAAAACTGTAGGTTGGTATTTTCCCAACGTGACAAGCATTCTACTAAAAGATGCGTGGGGATTTAGAATAAGAAACACATATCTAAATTTACTTGAGAGCAGTAGACACAGATAACTAGAGAACTTGTTAGGTGATAGTTTGTGTATTTATAACTTTGTGCAGGCAAAATGTATGCATATTATCTAGTAACACTCAAGAAAGGATGTTTTGGTGGGCTGTTGATTAAAAATTTAGTTTAAAGTCCAATTGATCACTTTTCATTTAAAGATATTGTCTTAAAATTTCTGAAAAATCAAATGAATTTTGTAACACCTTCCTTGGAAATTATTAATATGGTATTAAAGACTCTATAAGACTAATGATGGGTTTTTCCCCTGAGAATATATATTACGAAAATAAAAGAGACAAAATTAGGGAATATAAACTCTTTATATTTTTTATTAATAAACTCCATTGATCTAACTATATATCTTCAACTGCTATAAATAAGTGTTCTTCCTTCTGCCTCTTTCCAAGTTGAGCATCAGTAGAATGACAGCTTCTCAATAGGGACAGTTTCTACTCATGGAGAGAAAGGTTTCTTTGGAAATAGAAGCAGGAAATTTAGAGTCTACTTGCTAATCACCATATGCAGAAATTGGCTACATAGTGACACACTCACCCGTTGTCATATGGGACCTGCTCATGTATATAGACAAACCAGTACTCACACGAAATGAGATCAACTGAAAGCAGTTTTACTTACAAAATAAATAACCCCAAGAGGAAAACAGTTACTGGCACAAAAACAGAAATATAGGTCAATGGAACAAGATAGAAAGCCCAGAGATAAACCCACACACATATGGTCACCTTATCATTGATAAAGGAGGCAGGACTATACAGTGGAGAAAAAACAGCCTCTTCAATAAGTGGTGCTGGGAAACCTGGACAGCTACATGTAAAAGAATGAAATTAGAAGAATCCGGACCACCATACACAAAAGTAAACTTCAAATGGATTAGAGACCTAAACGTAGGACCAGACAGTATAAAACTCTGAGAGGAAAACATATGCAGAACACTCTATGACATAAATCACAGCAAGATCCTTTTTGATCCTAGAGAAATGGAAATGGAGACAAAAATAAACAAATGGGACCTAGTGAAACTTAAAAGCATTTGCATAGAAAAGGAAACCATAAACAAGACTAAAAGACAACCCTCAGAATGGGAGAAAATATTTGCAAACGAAGCAACTGACAAGGGATTAACCTCTGAAATTTACAAGCAGCTCATGCAGCTCAATATCAAAAAAACAAACAACCCAATCCAAAAATGGGCAGAGACCTAAATAGACATTTCTCCAAAGAAGATACAGATTGCCAACAAACACATGAAAGGATGCTCAACATCACTAATCATTAGAGAAATGCAAATCAAAACCACAATGAGGTATATAACCTCACACCAGTCAGAACGGCCATCATCAAAAAATCTACAAACAAATGCTGGAGAGGGTGTGGAGAAAAGGGAACCCTCCTGCACTGTTAGTGGGAGTGTAAATTGATAAAGCCGCTATGGAGAACAGTATTGAGGTTCCTTAAAAAACTAAAAATAGAACTACCATATGACCCAGCAATCCCACTACTGGGCATATACCCTGAGAAAACCATAATTCCAAGAGTCATGTACAACAATGTTCATTGCAGCTCTATTTACAATAGCCAGAACGTGGAAGCAACTTAAATGTCCATCAGCAAACAAATGGATAAAGAAGATGTGGCACGTATATACAATGGAATATTACTCAGCCATAAAAAGAACCAATACTGTATGAAAACACATATATATGGAATCTAAAAAACAAAAAAAACCAAATGGTTCTGAAGAACCTAGGGGCAGGACAGGAATAAAGACGCAGATGTAGAGAATGGACTTGAGGACACAGGGAGCGGGAAGGTAAGCTGGGACGAACTGAGAGAGTGGCATGGACATATATACACTACCAAATGTAAAATAGATAGCTAGTGGGAAGCAGCCACATAGCACAGGGAGATCAGCTCGGTGCTTTGTGACCACCTAGAGGGGTAGGATAGGGGTGGTGGGAGGGAGATGTAAGAGGGAGGGGATATGGGGATATAAGTATACATATAACTGATTCACTTTGTTATACAGCAGAAGCTAACACACCATTGTAAAACAATTATATTCCCATAAAGATGTTAAGGAAAAAAAATAATAGCTCATTAAAATAATAATAAATATGTTTGGAGAACAACGAGACATAATTTCATTAAGTTTTCTCACTCAGTATGAGCATTTGAACCCTTCATTTTCGTTTTACAGTTACAGTCATTTTTCCTCTGCTCACTGGCAGGTCTTGTAGACCGTTTGCTGGATGAGCTGGCCTCTTTCCTGAAGGGTGTGTGTCAATAGTAAACTGATCATTTTATTTTTCTTTATTAGCATGCTAATATTTGCTTTGATTTATGGCCATTTCTGCTGAGAATACATTGCAGGGAAACATTTTATTAATCCCAATTTCGTTAGTAAAGTCACAACACAGTTATGTCATTTTAGAGAAATTATTATTATGCACAACTAGAAATAATTACTTTGCGTTTAAAGAATTCAAACCAAGAATGTAACCTTCAGACATTTTAACCAAATACTAAATTTTTTTAAAAGTCAACTTCTTACTGGTAGATCTTCACCGAATCAGTAAATATCACGTTGTTCTAAGAATGATGCATCAAATTCAGCAAGAGCAAATACTGTTTCAAATAAATGAGAAAATTTGTCAAAGAAAATAAGAGGAGTAGAAGAAATTAGAGCCAGAAATAAGAGCGGAATAGAAAGTGCATGTTAGAAAGTCATGAGTACAGAAAAGTCATGTTGAAGATGGGTCATAAATCAGGCTGTAAACCTTTCATCATTGTCTGTGAAAGAGAAGACGCCTAGCTACGTCATAGAACCCCTAAGGCAACAATGAACTAGCTTCTCAGAAGAAACACTGTTATCCTTGTTAAAGAGAGGAAAGATAACTTTTTCTTCATCTCTTCATAATGAGGGAAAACTGTGGCAATAATAAGTAACAGACTTGTGTTAAAAACCCGAGCCGGTTTCGTAGGGCAGTTTTTCGCATTATCTTTTAATTTAGGCTGATGGCCTTAGTGCCATTTGGCAAAACTGCATGTCAGGTTCACTGCATGTCAGGTTCACTGCTCTTTTGACAGATGTTTAAATATTGAGAAGAACGAAGCACATTCCTCTCGCTTTTCTCCAAATCTTCCGCCTGACCTGCTGAATGGCAGGCGGCGGGATTAGACTCCTGGACAGGAGCCAGGGCAGTGTTACCGTGGGGACCCTGGGGACTGACAGTGCCTCCTTCTCCCTGTGACAGTGTCATGAACCTGGACGACCTGACCCGGCGAGGGCTGTACCTGAGCGACATCCCCCTGCACGATGCCACGCGGGACCTCGTGCTGCTGGGGGAGCAGTTCCGAGAGGAGTACAAGCTGACCCAGGAGCTGGAAATCCTCACGGACAGGCTGCAGCTCACACTGCGTGCCCTGGAAGATGAAAAGAAGAAGACAGACACGTAAGCACGTGCCCTGTGCTTAAAGAGGGCGGGCAGGGCTGGCGGGGCTGGCCTGCGTGGTAGCCGGTGGCCCTGCCGTAGTTAAGACTGACCGTCAGGCTGCTCGCTGCGCAGCAGGCCCGTAAATCCAGACACAAGTTGCTGGGGCAAGGAACAGCGATCGTAGTCGGAAAGACGGCAGACCCAGAAGATGGCGGACTCGTGTCCCAAACGACCATCTGGCCTGAGTTAGAATTCGGGCTCCTTTTGTACTAAAAGGGGCAGGACCAGCCGAAGGGGGTGGGCCCAGCCAAAGGGGCGGGGCTAAAGCCAAAGGTGGGTGGGGCCCGCCAAAGGGGCGGGGCTAAAGCTAAGCACTTCTTGGTTCCTGGCTGCGTCTGGGGCTGGGAGGTGTGAATGTCTTCCTTGCTGCGGCCGCTCCCTGGTGAACCTGGTTAGGCTGTTTCCTGGGAGCTAAACAAAGGTATTTAGCTTAAGGCTCGTGACCTGGGGAGCAGGGTTCCCAGAGATGGGCCATCGTGTACAATTTAATCTGATAAGCAACACCCCGTTAGTGATTAGCTTGTAATAGAACACAGAGGTTCTTCCCTATAACAGGACTCCGAGGCGTGGGACCTGCCGTAGGTCTGGAGTCCTAGGTAAACTCGAACACATCACTTCGATAGAAGTTATGCACACAGAAATCAATCAGTCCTAATAGTGATTTTACAAACCAAGCTGGAAGAATATACGCTAAGGCATGTCTCTGGAAATCATTAGAAGAATAATTCAAGTGCGTATTTCAAGTCCAACTACCCGTTCATCCAGTTCTTCACACAAGAGGTGTACCTCTAGGTGCCAGGGCTGCCCAGGTGCTGGGGGACACAGAACACTGAACTTAGATTTGGCCATTATATTTTGAAAGTGTTCTGTTCTTGGACTCCAGATTATTTGTGAGTTCGGCAGGTGTGAGTCTGACAGACTGTAGTGTCATCTGTGATGACAGCAATTGCATCTGTAATTTGATACATGAACAAAGGTATCAAAACACAAAACTGTTATTTTTCTACGAATGGTGGATTAAATTATGAACTACTGGGCAAGTAACATTTAAGATAATATTTTGTTTTCAAGTAATTCATTTAAACAGATACACATTGTGCATACTGCTTGGCCTTGCTTGAGTATATTAATTAAAATCAATTAAAGACATGAAATCACTGACTTTCGTAAGAGAATTTTTCCGGTGATCTTGCGTGTTCATTTTTAACGTTTGTATAATAGGCAGCTGTCTTGGAGAATTGACCTCATCTTCCTTCGTGTAAGAACTGTGTCACTCTACTTGACACCATAGGGTTGGTAACAGCACCACTTCCTGTCCTTTTCTTGCATTGATGTGTGTGTGTTGCCTATGGTTGGATGCTGTGCCCACAGGTAAACACATCAATTAACTGTTTATTGGCAGCTTAGATGGATAGAGAATCCACGTAAATGTCTGTCTTCATCCCTAGCTTCTTCCTGCCCTTCTCCTACTTTGTATGATGAAGGTGAAAACTAGTTTCTTCGACACCACTTTACTTTCCTCACGGCCCTGAAGGGAACCCCTTAAGCGTTCCAGTATTTGGCAAATTTCCACAAGTATGTGGGATGAGGTGGGCCAGTCAGATTCCTCCTACTGCTCGAGAAACCACTCAAAATGTGTATTTATCAGTCTGTGGTACAGCTTCCACCATGAAAAATAACACATCTTATGGAGCTTGTAAGATAGCACTTAGCACCCAGGCTCACAGTCACCTGGATTTGTAAGTCTGAGTTACTCGGACCCTGCTCGGCTGTTATATTAGAAAACCACCAAGGTTTCCATCTTCATTGGTGTTTGGTTTTCAAGGTGATCTAATTATAAACATTTACTATGAATTTTTGTTGAAATGAAGTAGTTGTACTGGTCACATTTAATATTCAAATACAGCTTTAAAATGTTGTATAAAATGTTCTCTGTTTGAAAGTGAAAAGTGAAACACTGAATAAATTCCACTAAAGGTGGCGAAAAAATGAGACCTCAGCACCGTTCTGCACCTTAACCTTGGCACCGGTGCCGTCTGGCTTAGGGGAGGAAGAGGCTCGGAGGTGGTGGCTACTCCTGTGCGCCCTCACGTCAAGGAACCGCAGGTCTGCCTGCTTCCGCTTCTCTGCTCAGCTCTCACCCCTCCCGTGTGCTGACCACTCTCCCTGCTCCCCAGAGCCCCTGGTCCCGTCAGCGTGGTCTCAGGATTGTCAACGGAAATAGGATCTTTTCTTGTCTAGACCAATTTCTACCTGCTTTATCCGTTTCTTCCATGAAGGAGTGAGGCAGGAATGAAACAGAAAAATCTGCCCTTTCTTTCTTCCTTCCTTCCTTCCTTTCTTTCATTGAAGTATAGTTGATTTACAATGTTGTGTTAGTTTCAGGTGCACAGCAACGTGAATCAGTTATATATACATATATACATATTCGTTTTCAGATTCTTTTCTGTTAAAGGTTTTTACAGGATATTGAGTAGAGTTCCCTGAGCTGTACAGTAGGTCCTTGTTGGGGAAATCTGCTTTTCACGTCAGATGACAAACGTTGAGGCAGATGGCTTATCCCTGAGAGGTGAACGTATCCCTGGTTTTGTGGGATCCAAACAGTGCTAAGTGCTTGAATGGCTTCTTTCACCCTGTGAATATCCCAGCAGGAGCGTCGACACACAAGACCACGCAAGAAAACTTTGACTTCCCGGTGTCAGTCCTCTGTTTCGTTTGGCTTATTTTGATTTGCTTTGAACTGGTTTGGATTTGGGGATGTTCTGTGGGATTAAAACAAACCAATTATTTATATTTTCTCGACTTGACTTACAAAGATGGCTAATAGCGGGTGTCCTGTCAGAACCCAAGCCTGCACAGTGCACATGGCATTGAAGTCTACGAAGTGGGCCGGAGAGGCACTGAAGCTGCTCTCAGCATCTCTCACTGTGGCTTTGTCCTCACCCCTCTGGACAGGTTGCTGTACTCTGTCCTTCCTCCGTCCGTGGCCAACGAGCTGAGGCACAAGCGTCCGGTGCCTGCGAAGAGGTACGACAACGTGACCATCCTCTTCAGTGGCATCGTGGGCTTCAATGCCTTCTGCAGCAAGCATGCGTCTGGGGAAGGGGCCATGAAGATTGTCAACCTCCTCAACGACCTCTATACCAGATTCGACACTCTGACGGATTCCCGGAAAAATCCATTTGTTTATAAGGCAAGTCCAGGTCCTGCCCTAATGCAGTGCCATTCCCTGACTGTAGCCCTGCAGGCTTGGTACGGGCAGCTCTCATGCCTTCGTTATTTACCATTTTCTTAAATAATACCTCTCGTTCTAAAACATTCTCTTCCTTGTAACCCAAATGAATGGAACAGAAGATTCCCTAGTTAAAATAAAATGTTAAATCCGTGCAGGTGGTTTATCACACATAATATAAACATGGCATTCGTGTCGTTGGTCTGCAAGCGACATTTTTACTGAAAGGTAAAAGTGATTTGCACAGTAAAGAAGCCATGGAGCATAAGAAGGGGACTCAGACCTGCTTCTAGATAGCATCAGCTTGAAGGGAAACGTTTATAAGGCATTTCTGCCCTTGGTTTCAGTTAGTAACAAATATAATATTGGAAAAATGAAGTCAGTGGAATATTGCTTCGTAAAGGCAAGAATGTGAACTAAACCACCCCCAGGCATCTGGAGTCATAGAAGTATCACAAGGACTATTTATTTTATAGTCTTTTTCCGAGGAACAGTGTAGCACTTGGTGAGCACATCATAAAAATCTGTGGTTAATGACCAGGATAAATCACTGAACTGGGGGCAGTGGAGCTTTGGCCCATCCAACCATCAGTGTTTTAAGGGGAAATAGGGTAGTAAATTGTTCTACTGGGTAGTAAGCATATCTGAGCTGAGAAACCGGGACTTAACTAGAGGAAAAATAATGCCTGTAATCAGACTCCAAGTGCCAGATGTGTACATTTCAAATAATGACGTTTCTTCTTGTTGGAGCTGAAGGTATCAGAATTTTAAGAGATTCAGGGGAGGAAAGTTGAAAGTTATTGATAGCAATTGGAAGAACGTGTTCTGTGTAAGGGTAGCAAGTGAAACAGTCATGTTTGTACTGACCAATCTGTGCCCTGCTAGGTGGAAACGGTCGGTGATAAGTACATGACGGTGAGTGGGTTACCAGAGCCCTGCATCCACCATGCACGTTCCATTTGCCACCTGGCTTTGGACATGATGGAAATTGCCGGCCAGGTCCAGGTAGATGGTGAATCTGTTCAGGTTAGTAGATAAAACAGATATTATAATGGTAGTAATACACCTTTTGGACAACTGATTTATATTCTTGACCAGCTAATCATTAATTATGTACAAGGAATAACATCTTGACAACAAAGACTAAGATTTTTAATGTTTTTTAAATTGAAGTATAATTTACAATGTTGTGTTTCTACTGTACAGAAAAGTGGTTCAGTTACACATATATAACGTGTATTCTTTTTCATGTTCTTTTCCATTATGGTTTAATACAGGATATTGAATATAGTTCCCTGTGCTATACTATAGATCCTTGTTGGTTATTTATTTTATATAGAGTTGTGTGTGTATGTTAATCCCAAACTCCTCCTGATTTATCCTCCCTCTCCCTTTTCCCTTTGGTAACCATATATCTGTTCTCTATGTCTGTGAATCTGTTTGTGTTTCGAAGGTATGTTCGTCTGTGTCATATTTTAGATTCCACATATAGGTGATATCACATGATATCTTTGTCTGACTTCCTTCACTGAGTATGATAATGTCTGGGTTCATCCATGTTGCTGCAGATAGCATTATTTCATTCTTTTTTATGGCTGAGTAATATTCCATTGTATATATGCACCATATCTTCTTTATCCATCCTTCAGTGGACACTTAGGTTGCTTCCATGTCTTCGCTATTGTGAATAGTGCTGCAGTGAACACTGGGGTGCGTGTATCTTTTCAAATTATAGTTTTCTCCAGGTATATGCCCAGGAGTGGGATTGCTGGGTCCTATGGCAGCTCTACTTTTAGTTTTTTTAAGGAACCTCCATACTGTTCTCCATGGTGGCTGCACCCGTTTACATTCCCACCACCAGTGTTGGAGGGTTCCCTTTTCTTCACACCCTCTCCGGCATTTGTTATTTGTAGACTTTTTAATGATGGCTGTTCTGACTGGTGTGAGGTGATACCTCGTTGCAATCTTGAGTTGCATTTCTCTAGTAATTAGCGATGTTGAGCATCTTTTCTTGTGCCTTTTGGCCATCTGTATAAACAAAGACTCATATTGTATTGAACCCATTGTATTACATTCTTCCATAGAAATGGGAAACCTGTCCACCTGTTTGAAATCTTCTTTGTTCCGTGTACTGAAAATCATGAGGATGAGATAAAAACCCCTGTCCCTTCTGGTTTATTTTTTAAAATCTCTTTCCTGTGTCTCATGTAAGTTGCCAGATTCACATCTTTGAAAGCTTCAAACTTGACAAAAAGAATGTTTCTCTTGAAAGATTTCTGTGAGGGTTTTTGTCTGTAATATGCTTGGAGTTCTAGAGAATTCTTATGATTTTTATATGATGACTCTGCATTATTCTTTAATATAGAGTAAGCAATAATTCATAGTATTGACTTTATTAAGGCAGAGCTTTGATTTCTGCAGATAACGATAGGGGTTCACACAGGGGAGGTAGTCACCGGTGTCATAGGACAGAGGATGCCTCGCTATTGTCTTTTTGGAAATACTGTCAACCTCACAAGCCGAACAGAAACCACTGGACAAAAAGGAAAAATAAATGTGTCTGAATATACATACAGGTAAGAGACACATCTAGGTGTTTACTGATTTGAAAAATGTCTCTTTGCATGTGTTTTAATTCCCTGGGTGCTTTTATTGCCTTTAACATTTACCACCTCTGCTCTTAGGATTATTTATTATTTATTTGAGAAGATGGTGTCATTATTTCCAATTTAAGTGATGCTTCACCATCTTAGGAGTTTCTGCTATGATCATTGTTACTAAAACCTCAGGGTGCCTTTAAATAGCTTTGATGTGTGTCACTTTCTCTGTGCAGCCGTGCTCCACGTTTCTCTCCCTGTTCCCTGTCCCCTTTAGATGTCTCATGACACCAGAAAATTCAGACCCACAATTCCATTTGGAGCACAGAGGCCCAGTGTCCATGAAGGGCAAAAAAGAGCCAATGCAAGTTTGGTTTCTATCCAGAAAAATTACGGGAACAGAGGTATGACTCATCAGAGTGTAATTCCTTTTTTAAGACAGACTATAAACATGGGAGCTAAATCATAATCACTGAAAACACGTTTCATTTGCAAGGAATTCTTGCTTACGCGAACTCTTCAGTAGAGCAGCAGAAATACTGAACCATTAGTGAGCCGGTTAGAACTATACAGACTTCTTAGCGGAGACTTTATGGTTGCTGGTTTTGTCCTCTAATGAGATTAAAACCAAAGCAGTAGACGGAGGAGACCTGGTTTTGGTTGTTCCTCCGCAATCTGGCTCAGACCCAGCTGGGGAGTGGGCGGTGAGGGGCGCCCCCGGGCCCTCCCCAGCGCCCTCAGCTGTTGTGAGGGCGCCATCAGGGCCAAGACAGGGCCGCCTTCACGGGAGGTTTCCTAACCATGACGCTCCAGCTCCTTGTAAGGGCCACGCTGTCACCTCGGGGGATGTTTGGGCATTTTTGGACATCCTGGTCCCTCGTGTGTCTTTCCTGGAGAGAAGAGTGATTTATACTTTTCCGGAATCTAAATGATTCTGCAGGGAGGCTATAGGTGCCTGCTCGTGCCCTGGGTGTACTCCAGCCTGAACTCAGGTGCTGGGGGGCCTCAGAACTCTGGGGTTCGCTCGGTGGTCCTGTGACCCAGGGTGGCTCGTGACACCGAGGCCCTGCCAGCTTTCCCCCCTCCCAGTGGGTTGCATCAGAAACAAGTCTGATGCTTTGTTCCCCGCTGATGCGCTGGTTCTTTAGAGGGGGGGAGACTCCTTGACTATGTGTCTTTTCCTGGATGTACACATTCGTTATAAATACGTTTAGAGTAGAAGTCCTAAAAGGAATGGAATGCCAAGTTCTAAAATACTTACCTTCATCTTCTCTTCACTGTTCTCACCTCTGGTGCTAGCTTGCTTCCCGATGTTCTGATAAATTAGCTTCCCGCCAGCATTGCTCATTTGACTTGGGTGCTTCTGTCTCATCCAGCGTGATGCTGGGAATGACTTAGAAAAACTGTAGATATGAATGCAGATCAAATTTTATTTAAAAAGAGAAAGAAAATCTTTTGGGAGTCCTACAAGCTTTATTATCACTGAAAATTAATACCCTATTTTTTCCACTTTGTAAAGGAAACAAAGCAGGATGACAACTGAATCTTGGACCTTGAGGTGAAGAGGACGGGGTGAGGTCCAGTCTTCCCCTAACTCCTGCCAAGCCTGGGAGCAGTCATTCCCTTGGTCCTTTTCCATTTCCCCAGGCCTTTCTCCTGGTTATCTCTTTCCTTATTCATTATTCAGCTTTAGCTCTGCTTGTGAGTATTTTCAAGGTTTAGTATATTATCTGAAGTTTGGCTTCGTGTGGGTGATGTGAGCTTCATGTGTCTTAAAATCTACTCCAAGCATCACCTAACATGGTGACTTGCAAGTAGTAGACACCCAATAAATATTTGTTGAATTTAATTAAATGAAACAGAACAGTATTTGGCCATGTCTCTCTCTCTCTCTCTCCCTCTCTCTCTCTCTCTCTCTCTCTCTCTCTCTCTCTCTCTCTCTCTCTCTATATATATATATATATATATATACACACACACCCCATGGTTTTCCATATCTGTTCAGTGCTCTCTATATATGCATATGTATATTTTAATGACTATAACATATAAAAAAGTTTTGTCATGTTGGTGTATATCATTATAGAAATCATTTTCTAAAGGAGTGAATTCAGAATTTTAGGGAAAAAATGCAATTTATTGTCAGACTCCCCAAATAAGAATTAATATATCATGCTAAGAAAATACTCACTAGTTTGAATTATGCTCACTTTCCTTCAGAAATAGAGAATGCACATCTCTGTTATTAAACTATTGGGTTGTTCACTCAGATCCCGTGGCAATTATAATTCCTCTAAAACGCTGTCGTTTGCATTGTGCCCCTTGTGTAATTATAAGTCTCACTACTCCCGTGCAGCTGTTAGAGCGGCACTGTTTCACAATGAGCTATTGCGTTAGTTTGGGGTAAACGTTAGGGGCTCTGACCACATCCAAGGAAAAAGCTGGAAGCATGGCTGGGGTGTTCCTGTTCGTCAGAGCCCCTGCTGGCCCTTTATTCCCAGAAATTAGCTCCTTTATCTTAGCTTACAAGAATGTGACTATATCCAGGGCATCGTGTTCAGAAAACTTACTTTAATTCCAACATAGAACGCATTCCTGTTGGACTCGTTAGCCTGTCGTCCTTCAGTATCTCTGATAATTTATTAACATCTATCTTTATAAAATATAGTACAATTACTTCGGTGTAAAAATGTTTGTCTTTAAATTTAGCATTTCCTATCAGCACATTGATATTTGTGTAAAATGTTCTGTGTTCATGTGTAAGAGATCCTGCAATAAATTATTTTTTCCACTTGTCTCTAGACAGTTTTTAATTCAATACAAATGAAATGAATAGTCTTGTCGGTCATTTGATTGATTAGTGCCGTTTTTGGAATACATCTTGTCACTTTGCCTGTTACAGGCTTTCATTTTGATTCCCTGCTGTTAGGATAAAGCTGAATGGTCCCTCTTCCTCAGGCCTATTCCCAGATGGTATTTTTCTCCAATGACAGCGGCAAGACCAACCTTGGCAGGGGTGGGGAGGATATTTGCACAGATACGTGTGAAGTGACACTGACGCGCTCCCGGCATTTTAGGGGTGAAAGACACGTACAAATAGCCAAACCGTCTGATATTCATAGTGATGAAATATGTTCAAGACACAGAAAGAATACTCAGAGCGTGAGAAACAAGAGGACGGAAGTGGGGTGGGAAGAAGGCGGCGGGAGACCAGCTGGGTTTTGTGATGGTTTTGTCTGAAGGTAAATTAATGCGTCCCTTGGAGAAGCCTACTCTCAGTGCCTCTGGGTCCCATCTGTTCAGCCCTTCTGGGTAGCACCAGTAGAACCAAATGTTATGGAAAGGTAAGAGTTTCTCAGCTTGATTTGAGGGTAATATGTCCATGTTTTTAAACTACAGAAGAATAGCAGTTTATACCCACGCACAAATGTATTTCAGGACCAGTTCGTTATCTCATTTTACTGAAATCTTGATAGAGTCACCAGATGACATGTTCTGTCTCTTCGTCGTGGAAGGTGTGACGTTGTGGTTTGTGATAAGAGGTGTATACGTTTGGTCTTAGCCCCCGTCCCCTTCTGGCTCGGAGCTCCTACAACTCCAGGAATTTCCTAAGTGATGAAAATGACAAAGGTGTCTTTCATCATGTTAGTGACGTGACTCGGGGCCTGCGCTGGGTTGGGGGGAGCTTGTTGCCAGGTGAACCGACCTGGAGTTCAGAGGGTGGGAACTTTTAGTCCCACCCTGACCCGCGTCTCCTGGGAAGGGAGAGGGCCTGGAGGTTAAATGCTTGCCGGCAGCCAGTGATCTCATCAAGCGGGCCTGTGTGATGACGCCTCCAGAAAAGCCCAAAGGTCGGAGAGCTTCCGGGTTGGTGGACACGGGGCGACGCAGCGGTGGGCCTGAAGCTCTGCGTGTCTCCCATCTGGCTGTTCTGAGTCACAGCCTCTTGTAATTACAAGGCAGCTAGTAAGTAAAATGGGTCCCTCGGTTTGTGTTTCTCTCTAGCAGGGAACCTTGGGTCTGCAGCCGGTTGGTCGCAAGCGCGGGTGACAACCTGGCCTTGCTTTGGTCCCCAAGTGGGTGCGTATTATAGGGCTGAGCCCTGAACTTGAGGAATCAGAGGCGATCTTGGCGTAGACGGTGTCAGGACTGAGCTGCATTGTAGGACACCCGGCCGGAGTCCTGAGAGTTGCTCTGTGGTGGGGAAAACACCCCACACTGTAAATGGGTGCAGATTCTTACAGGGGAAGAAAAGAGTCACGTCTCTGCTCACCATTAAGTAGGTTTCTCTTTGCAGCCTCGCTGCCGGCTCTTAGGACCGCTAGGGGGCAGCAGAGGGGCCGTGCAGAATCGAAGTGGGGCGGGCGGAGGGGGGAGAGGAAGGACACGGGGCTCTCGTAGGAAGCGCTGCTGGCGTGTCTCGGGTCCGGACCGAAGGCCGCTCCCTGCGTGCAATCTGGAATTCATCCCTCCCACAGTCCCCTACGGTCAAAGGAACGTCATGAATAATTATTTTTACGCCATTATGACCGTTTGTGTAGCAGGAAATCTACTCCTATGCATCATGTTCAGAAATTTCACCCACATTTTTCCTGCTGATTCTGTAGAAAGGTGTGTAAACGTGTCAAACAGGCCATTTGTACTAGAAGCTATAATTTCGTCCAGAATCATTATAGGCAAGCTAAGTTGCATGTAGCTCATGTTAAAATCTATCAAATACAAATATTGTTTATAATAGACAAGGAGAAAATTGGAAAACCCCTTATTTTGCATTAAAAAATGCATTTAAATGATTCTCTCTTGCTTCTACCATATTGGAGAGAGGAAATAGTATAGGGTAGATGTAAAAAACCAAACAAAAGCAAAAACCACTGTCCGGAGAGTCAAGAACCTGAGTCCAGTTCTGGCAAGGCCAACCCTGTGGTCTTGGCATCTTAGATTCCTAATCTGTGGAAGGAGCTGGACAAGATGATGTCTAGGGTTAATTCTTGCTCCAAAATTCCAACATTTCTGTGGTGAAAATTTCAGGGCAGGGATGCTGTGACTTTGGCCTGGCCCTCTGGGGAATTCTTAGAAAGACAATCCAGTCTTAACTCTTTTTAAGTCAAGTAACAATGAGCAGATCAACTGGGTGATTTTAAAGCTAATTTCTAAGAAATAAACAACTCTCTGGCAAACACCTGCTGAAGACTTTTGATTCCAAGCTAAAATCAGAATGACTAGGTCATATTAGTGTATACAAGTATTAAAGCATTAAAAACTGGCCCTATAATATTTCCCTAATTATGTTGAGTTCAAATTCTTTAGTAAAGAGCTGGGCTTTTGATTCTCTAAAAATAAGGGGAGAAAATGTACCTCTATTTCAAGCAGTAATCTTTCTGAGTAGAAGATAACCTATTAAAAATTAAAGACAGGAAGTGTCAGTGAGTGGTACATATAGTTTTTTAAGAAAATTATTACCAATAAAATGTATTGCCCGTTTTGTATTAACTTGCAAAATATTTCCTGCTGAAAAAAGAAATCTGTAGCCCAGAGATGGAAACCACTTAAATATCCATCAGTGGGTACATGGATAAAGAAAATGTGGTCCATATATACAGTAGAATATTGTCCAGTTTTTAAAGAGAAGGAAATCCTGCCATTTGCAACAACATGGATGAACCTTGAGGCCATTATGTTAAGTGAGATCAAGCCAGACACAGAAAGAGAAATACTGCATGATCTCGCTTATGTGTGGAATCTAAGAAGGGCGAACTCATAGAAGCAGACATGTGCTCAGATGCATGTGCTCAGATCTTCTATGAAAAGCAAATAGTCCTTTTAGATACTTGATTGTTTGCTCCTTGTCAGTACACTGAGTCATACCTTGTTATTTATGAAAACAAAACAAGAAAAGTAGATGAATAGTTGAAAGTGGTCATTAAGTAAAGAAAAAAATATATGCATGCTCATACTTTTTCATTTATAATATGCAGTTTTGAATAGAGCATTTCTTTTGAACGTAAACACTCTGTGTACTATGACACAGTAGAAACGGTGATAAGAACTGTAATAAAGAAAAATGAGTTCTATCTGAGAGATTTTTAGAAAAATATTTAAGGAAAAAGAAATTAGACCTTTTTATAAGTTGCTGACATCTAGCAACTTAGCGTTTTCAGATGATAAAGGACCTTCCATTTTCACGTGACGATTCTTTTGCAATGTTTTTGCATAAGAAGCAATTATGAAACACTATTATCTTTTGACAAAGCTAAGACTCTTTATAAAGATTTAGTTCATCACTCAGGTACCACCCACACTCCATTCTCCTGTTCATTTGTATTCCTGTTAAAGATTGTTCTTTCCCTGTCGACCCAACCTGCTATTTTTGCATTTGACAGGAATATTACCCAGGTATTAACTAAAAATTAATTATGCAAAAGGCAGCTGCTAGAAGTTTTGCACATGTATATACACGAACAGTTTTTACTTTGCTTGTGCTCAACAAAATGTCCCAGAACTTTAGGGACTCTTCAGACTTTAGTGGGAGCAAATGTCCCTACCACACTGACCACAAGCTCTTCTATGTGATCTTACCAAAAAGTTGCTCCTGATGTATGTATTTTTGAGATTCATAACTCTTTAAATACAGCTCTTTGTATTCCTTAACAGGTAAATCCCTTTTAAAAAGAGTTCTTGTAAAAATAGTGTTAACGCTATAATAAAAGTTACACACTCCTTTTAAAAATGTGCATTTCTTTAAGTGTTTTCTGTATTGAAACTACTAATTGAACTTCGAAGACAAGAACAAGCTAAGGGGTGATCAGATCCCCTGCTGTCCCTGAAACTTAGGACAAAGCCTACATCACCAGGTGGCAATCAGGGGGCAATACTACAGTCACTACAGAATGCCCTTGTCCCCAACATTGTTTGGAACATTTTGTGTGTGTTGAATCCTTGTAGCAAGCCATTGAGTAAATATCCTTATTATCACCTCCATTTTACTTAGAAGGAAACTGGGGCACATAAAGTTTGGGTTCCTCACCTAAGGTCAGACAAGAGTGAGTGAAGAACCAGTAATTATACACGGTAACCAGATACAGAGCCCGTGCTTCCAACCAGTGTTCTCTGAGGTCTCTCAGGGTACAGGTGAGCAGAGCAGCGGCAAGTGATCAACTTCCAGTGTGTGTCCAAACGTTAGAAGATTGTCGGTCAGGTAATAAAGTTCTAGTTGGACAGGTGGACAAAGAGCGTGAAGGAGGTATGACAGGTGGTTTTGGTCCCGCATCTGATGACTAACACTAAGAACAGGATTTGGAGGCCTGAGGCACAGGCAAGGGACCAATGCAGGTCTAGAGAGGGACACAAGGCAGCAATCACAGGATACAACAAGAGAACCCATATGGTGTGCACCAGGAGAGGTGTCCTGTTAGTAACTGGCCCCATTGTGCCTGAAGACCAGATTGGCCTTAGAGTTTTCAGGCCGTGAGACCGACTAATTCAAGAGGGGGCTCTGCTGGGCTGGAGGGGGAGTAGGAAAAGAGCATCGTTGGCCGAGTCCTTCCACGAAGGCACTTGCTCAGAGTGCAGACTGCTGGCTCCCTGGATGTAGAGGAAGTCCTCCAGAGGGTGGCGACCTCACCGTCCTGCACCTGCCCCCATCACTAGCATTTTCTATTTATCTGTGAGGGCTGCTGACCAAGGGAACGTTTTTGACTTTCCTTTCTAAGGCTTCAAACAAGGTCTCTCAGAAATATACAAGACATTTCCTTTATTTCCCATCTTCTGTTGTACCTGGATGTAATCCATTTCCATTC